GAAGGAAGGAAGGAAGGAAGGAAGGAAGGAAGGAAGGAAGGAAGGAAAAGAAAGAAAGAAGGAAGGAAAGAAAGAAAGAAAGAGAGAAAGAAAGAAAAAGAAAGAGAAGAGAGAAAGATGGGGAAAGACAAAACGAAAGAAAAAGAGAAAGAAAGAAGGAAAAGGAAAATAAAAGAAAAAGAAAGACGAAGTAAAAAGAGAAAGAGGGGGAAGAGAAAAGGGAGGGCAGGAAAAGAGAAAGGAAGGAGTGAAGAAGAAAGGAAGGAAAGAAAGAGGGAAAGAAAAAGAGAAGGGACAAAGAAAGGAAGAGGCAGAGAGGGAAGGAGGAAGAAAGGAGGGAGAAGATAATATTTGCTCAAATTGGTGAAAGTATTTTCAACCTCTCTCAGTCCTCCAGAATCTTCAGTTACATTAGACACAGTTCTACTAAGAAATTAGACAAACAGAATAAAACAGCAACATTGAGTAAAGAGGTGTAGTTTAAATATCATTTGATCCTGAGATGATTCTAATTACTTCCTAAGTTTTCTGGGTATGCAAAGTTTCCAAATTCAAGGTTCTTAAGTTTTACATAGGAAAGTTTGATCAAAAATATTACAATATAAGAAATCCCCACTAATTTTGAAATTCAACCAATTATTTAGGAAACGACTCTTGGGCCTCTGTCTATGCTATGAAGTAATAGTGACTCCTTTATGAAGAAAAGGGACACAAATGTGAATGTAAACTTTTAAAAGGAAGATTTTTCTAGAGTTTTTTCTATCTATGAAGTTCTTTCACCAAGAGTAAATACAATTTTTTTAAAACATCATTACAAAATATTTGACTGACTTTCTTAGATATGTTTGAATGGTAAAAAGTACCTCTGAGTAGATGAATTTTGGAAGCTTGCTCAGTCTACCTTTCCAGGCATGTAAGTTTATTCAGATCTTTAATAAAACAAATTTTAGCTGACTCTGTCTTCATAACATGATGGAATTTTATATCTTTCATATTATTATAATGTTTGTTATAATTTTAACATTCCAGTAGGAACAATAATGAGAAATGAGATTTTTTTCCCCTTCTTTACCTGGGGGCTCATGACAATTCCATGTCCATTGGGGATAAAGCCAGGAAGAATTTAACAAGAACATTAGATTCTTGATTCTGGCCTTTAATAACAATGATAACTTGACACTCAATCCAAAATATTTTATACATATATTTTCTGAATATTTTCCATGGATATTCAGATACTAAGCACTGAGTACCATCTTTGCAATAAAGGTGGCTGGAATTTCAGTGCGCTAAAGAGCAACAGTATCCAGAAGCGTGAATGGAGTCCACGTGATGGCTAAGGGGCAGTGTTCACATCATAGCTGAAAGTATCCCAAGACGGTGCAGTGCTTTTATGTGTTTTATTCTCTCTCTCTCTCTCTCTCTCTCTCTCTCTCTCTCTCTGTGTGTGTGTGTGTGTGTGTGTGTGTGTGTGTGTGTGTGTGGTGCTTAAAGAACAGCAATAAAGACATAAACTAGAAGCTTATCCAAACAGAGAAGTTTGTGAAAAATGATAAAGAGTTTGAGAAAGGATAGAGGGTAGAGGATGTGAGGGGCAGTCTTGGTATGGGAAGGTCTATCTTCAGTTTGTGATGATCGTGGCTTTGATCTTTCTCATAGATGATATACTTGATGAAATCTAACTTTGCTTTCAGTTATTTTTTATCCTAACGTCTTTAGTTCATTTCTGTTGCATCACTGAACAAAAGGTGCTTTAAGGATTTATTTAGCCAGTCATCCCATTCCTGCTAACACAGCCACCTGGGGAAATTTATGCATGTGTTAATGCACATGGGCATTTATGAGAGTAACTAAAATAACTGTATCAGCGATTTCTCGGTTACTTTTGACCTAAATGGAGTCTGAATCTTTTCCCGGACTGATAATTTACTCTGCTGCTTCATTTCAGCATTATCTTTTTTATCAGTACAAAACAACTTAATCTAACTCTATCTGCATTGGTTCATATATGTCCTTTTACACACACACACACACACACACACACACACATTAACATTTCTTTTAAGAGAAATTCAATGCATGCTTCAAACACTAGCATGTACCATTGCAAGTTTAGTTTGACCCAGCTGTAAATGCAAGATGAAGAAATGGGACAAAAATTAATTTGGACCCAAAGACTGTTGTTCAAGTCAAGGCTAAGGACAAACAGTAAAGGTGATGGTACATCTAGGTTCAAGAGACCAGGAAAGATTATTAGTCCAAAGCAAATTGAAGATTATGGAATTCAGCATACAACTAGTTTCTGAATTTCTAGGAACCTTTAAATATACATATTCTCAGGCTCCATATGAAGTCAATGATTGAATGATACATGTTGAATCAGAATCTCTGTAGGTATACATGATGAGTTCATGTTTTTAAAACTATATCCAGATGTTTCTGATGCAGCAAATCGAGAACCCCCAGAAATATTAAGAACAATAATTAGAGCCATCAATGAAAAGATACATCAATTAGAAGCAATGGGGAAGAGGCAAATACCAGGCAAAGTATCACGAATGAGAAAACATACAACCTATTAGACAGATCGTATTAGGTTATTCTGCAGTAACAAACAATCCCCAGTCCCTAATGATTTTCAATGACATAGGTTTGTTTCTTGCTTGTTAATGCACATCAACTGTAGCTCTATTTCATATACCTTCTTTACCCCAGGATCTAGCCCCATTGAGACTTTTTCTCCTGGCAGAGAGGAAAAAACACCAACTAACTTATACAATATCTCTCCTGGCTTTTGCTCAGATGTGGCTTATAAACTTTCCATCACTCTCCACTGACTAAAACCAGTCTTAAGATCAAGCTTGAGGTCAGTGGCCTAGGGACATATTCTCCTCCAACAGGAAAGTCATATGGTAATACATGGGGATGCATATTCCTCATACAGGTAGATCAAATACCTGGCAGCTGTGATGGTATGCAATTGAGATCTCTCTTCAAGAGAGCACTTGCCATGAGGAATGAAGCCAGCTGACAAGATAACAATAACCCATTGGAGTACTTTATGTTTTGAAGCCCTATAACTATGTAACTATGAACTCTACAGAGTTAAAAGGTCCAGGTCCTCAAAAGAGGCACACTCTCTCTAGAAGACACAGCAAGGGTCCCATTGAAAAACAACTTATAGCTGCCCCTTGGGCAGTTTGAACACCCCTTGTGTAGTGAGAAACAGACAAGAAGAAGCTGAGCATGGTGGTGTGTACCTGTAGTCCCAGACACTCTGGAGCCTGAGGTGGGAGGTTTGCTTGAGCCCAGGAGTTCAGGGCTGCAGTGAGCTACGATTGTGCCACTGCACTCAAGCCTGGAAGACAGAACAAGACCTTGTCTCTAAAGTGAACAAACAAAACAGAGTCCTTCATCCTGGTCAGCAGGAGGTAAGGCTGCTTTTATGCAATGGGGCAGAGAGAAGTATGTGTTATCCACTTGGGTGCCTGTTGATACTGTCTTGCCCAAATGTGACTTTGAAAGGTCACCTGCAGCAAACTTGGCCCAGAAAGGTTATGATTACCAGGGGCTCCAACTTCTCATGAAAGAGAGATTAGTCTTGCTACCAAGTAGGCCACTGAGACAAGTGGAAGTGTTTCCTGAAGGTGAGGTGAATTTAGGCTGAATGATGGAGGAGGGAGATGATGAGAGCCAGTCGTAGCTCCCACACAGACGGCAGTGATGAGGGCTATGATTTATCACACTAACTGCACCCTCCTAAGTTTCCCCTCAGGAAGAGCCAGATGGAGCCAGGAGAGAGCTGTTCCCCAAGCCTGCAGGAGAAGGACATCAGCTGAGTCTAGGAAGTGAACTGTGGCAGCTGTGGAGGTGTGTGGCTCAGAAGTCTTTCAAGAGAGAACCTCCTCTGAGGACAGCAGTCAGCTGACAATGGCTAGCTGCCGTTTTCCAAATCTGGTGCAACATTTTAGTCGAGGCTGTGTTGTCCGTGGGCAGCTCCTAGACAATGGATGAGCACAATGAGGTATTATACCTGGTTACTTCTTCCCCGATTGGGGCAATCTTTACGGCTGGCTTTCCCTATTGCACTGGTGAAGACCTTCCTTCCCATAACTACACCACAGTCTGATGGTCTTCCTATTCAATTGCGTTTCCTCCCTGTCTCCTTTAACTACAGGTGCTAGACCTGCATTATGATCTGAGGTTGTCCCGCCTCTTCCTGCTTCCTTCTTCTTTCTCTCTTACAGGCATTCTTCCCAATAAACCTCTCAGACTTCTGACTCTGTCTTGGTGTCTGCTTCCCGGGAGACCTGAGCTGACATACTTGGGAACAATTATACAACCTCTGGCATTCAGAAACCAAAGAAGCAAGGAAAGAGGAGGCATCACAGCAAGTGGAAGACCCCAGAAATGAGGAATGCCTATGAAAATAGGTCATTCTCCTGCTTCAGACTGAGCATTTAAATAAGGCTTGGGGAGTTAGAAGCTAACTGCACTATAGAAATACTTGGCTGGAAGTGAA